AGAGAGAGAGAGAGAGAGAGAGAGAGAGAGAGAGAGAGAGAGAGAGAAGATTGCGAGAGAAAAGCAAAGAGTGAATTGAAAAATAAAAAATAAAAAAAAAAACAACATTATAATGCATACATAAATACATACAACACATATGCACGAGCAATACACGAAGAATAATGAAATGCTAGTAAAAGTAGTACTGACTTAAAATACGATGGAAGTATGACAGCAGAGTTTTTATTTATGCTCGTGCTATGCCGGGAGCAGGCAACGTGCATTTTCTTCATTTCTTGCGATGTCTTCGTTGTATCGCTCGTACGTTTGGCATGTTGTATATGTATATGTTGTTAGTTATGGAATATGCAATGGAATAAAGTCGTAAAAATCATTACGACAGAAGGGTGTTTTGCTGCAGTGGTAAGTACGTATGTATTCATTTCAATACATTTGTGCATGTATTTGTATTTTACGCATAAGTAGTAAATTTGTACTTTTTTCTGTCAATTTGTGTGTAGTAATGTTTCAAATATTTATTTCTTTTCGTATTTCGCACGTTTTTTTTTTTTTTTTTTTTTTTAGGGTGAAATGAAACAAGATCCAAGCACCTCGTAAATGTATATGTATTATGTACACGTGCGGCAAATAATTTTTTATTACACACCACCACCACCCCAATCACCCAAAAAATCATGAAAGATTAATTTGCTAAGTCCAGAAATTCGCATCGTAGTCTCCACGAAATGTAAATATGTTTACATCTATTTTTTTAGGCAGCGTAACGTTCGGAGTCCATTTAGTATTACGTTCCAACGCTATAGTAGAGACAGGAAACTGGTATAGGTGACTATCATCGTAGCTGACTTTGTGGCTGATATATCGGGAAAATCCGTGAATTTAATAAAGGGCTCCAACTTTTTTCGTTCAACTTGTCGATTTATATATCACTAATGCCCCGGTTAAGACGGACTTTTTATATAATAGGCATGTAATTAAGTTTTGGTTTCCTTTTTTATACCCATCACCGAAAGATGAGGGTTACATTCATTTTGTCAAAATATTTGCATCGAAGCGTGAAAGAACCCAAGAACTATATATCTATTTTTAATCAGCATCAAATCCTAAATCGATTTAAGCATGTCCGGCTGTCCGTCTGTGTAATGTCTGTTGTAAGCATTTTCTAGACCGTTATTGGCTTCCAATTTCGCACAAACATTGAAATTTCTTGCATGCAGGTGGATCTTGAAAATGGGTCAAATCGATCGTGGGAAACAGCCACAGCGTCACGTAAACTGTCAACATCTCCGTTCTTCAAAAGGAATAAAAAATAGGTTATTTGCTCATTGCCCATAGACTATAGCAAATAAATGCACAAAAATTTGAACGCATATTACATGGGCGACGCTATACTACCTGTGTAGAAAAGGGGAAAACTTGACCCCGCCTACCCCATATTATATTGTATTAAAATTTAACTTTTTCTTTCAATACGTTTATTACGCGCAGAAGCAAGCTTCAAAGACCTCATGGCATATATAAATTATTGATCAGTTACAAATGTAGAATGCAGCCAAGCGGATTTGTCTTCCAAACTGCGTAGTATATGCGGCAATAATTCCACCGTTAGCGAAAGTGAAGATATCATCTACAAACTTGCACAGCAATTTGGAAGTAACGTAAACTTTTCAAAGGACACGCCTACAACGCTCACATACCCATGTGACAAAAACTTATATTTTGAAAACTGAAGAAATCAACTGCACCCACTCCATACTATAAAGTATGGGAACTTAGTTCTTTTACATTTCTTGTCCTTTTTAGGATAACGGTGCTGGGTATAAAAGATTCGACTACGATCGAATATAATTTTCTCACTTGTTCTAATTTATATGGGAAGTAAAAAAGCGGGATGGAGTATGTGGTAACATTTGATTTTTTCGCTTTGAACTCGTAGGCATCGAATTTGCTGTCGCAATAACAATTCATCATAAAAACTTTGTATATGAGAATCCCTTTGATCTCGTAAAACTGCCAGCTAACGATTGAAAAAAAAAGATAATCAAGAGAAACAATATTTGCCACGAATGTGTAAACTTTCGCGAAATACTATATATTGTGACGTAGAACATAACGATAGTAATTCGGTAGGGAATAGTTCAAGTATGGTATAGTAGCCTCTCAATGTATGCGTATATATATATATCGTAGACATGAGTGCCAATGCTCATAATATTTCGAGAAAGAGAACGAGTTCGACTCTTCACAGTTTCTTCATTTGCGTGAAATGTGAGCGAGTAAGAATGGGCGGTCAGGAAGACAAAGTACTTGACTCGATTAATAATGCTTGGATATCGAAAAAATCAATTGATTGGTAGGCAGCATTAATGCGTGCCTCCAATTTATAACAAAATTTAAGGTAAATAAAAGAGTACGATTAATATTTATTACCTAGCGGTGGGCGAATTTTGAATAAAAACAAAAAAGGATAAGAAATGTGAAATTTAATAATAATAATAATAATAATAATAATAATAAAAAGCTATTAAATAGTCGCGACAAAAATATATGAGCATAAAGACTGTTCCTATTTCGATCAGCAACAACAACAAAAATATTAATAATAATAATAATAATAATGATGAAGCAAATAAGCATGAAAACAACCAATGGATAAAAAGGAAAAAATGAGTTTGAAATTTTATGGTAGATAATCAAGCATTTTTAAACGGGCTTAAGTCGAACTTTTAATATGCGCGCTGTTCCATTTAGTTAGATTAACAATATTACTCTCTTAAGGCTAATAGCGATGAATTGGAAGATGATGAAATTCAATTGTCTCGCTATTCATTGCATGTACATGGGATGGATTCATGAAATTATTATACTCTTCTATTGTTACTGGTAAGAGGTCTGTCTGCTTTTAAGATTTCGCATTGACTGCTATTGCTGTTGCTGTTGCTATTGTTGCAATTATTTTGTGTTTCTCTCTCATTTGAGGCGATTGATGTGACAGATATGGATTTCAATGGATTTGCTGATGTAGTAAAATCTTTATATTTTCTTTCATAGTTGCAATGTCGCAATGTTATGTGTGTGTGTGTGTGTGTGTGTGTGTGCGAGTGTGTGTATGTAAGTATGTAAGCTTCTGTACTTTTTATATATACTTTATCGCACTGAATGCAACGCATCGTGTGTAGGCAAGCATACAGGCGGTT